TCCGTGGGTCAAAATCCTCCCTGGGCTTTGCCAGGCACGAGCCCCTGGAAAGCTTCACAAGCATTTGCACAACGTGGTCTTTACCCCAGGTCTGTGACAGCAGCAGGTCTGATCCATTTGCAGCATTATCCCAAAAAGCTGCTGGAGAGTGGAGGGATGCTCAGGAGCCAGGGGGATGGACGGCAAAGGAAAAGGTGTAGCTGGAAGAGGAGAGGAAAAACAAGATCTAGTGAGCAAATCCAGGCCCCACAACACCCACCCTGCTGCCCTAAGATAAACCCAGAGCTGGACTTCAAGATTATTATTTGCCTGAAGGAAAAACCCCTCAGTTTAAAAGTTCATTTCATGGTTAATTCTGAGCTTTGCTGCTTTTGCAAATCTCGCCCTCGATAGTCAAGCCAAGAAGTTCACTGACAACTCCTCTGGCACCTCTCCAGGTCAAATCCCCCTCCCTAGTGGGAATCCCTAAAACTCAGAAACAAGGAAACCAAACCAGTTCTTCTATGAGTAATTAAATGCAATTTAAGACTCTAAGAAACACCCAGGGAGCAGTAAAAGAATGCTCAAATTTCTTCTCCCCCCCACCAGTGCAGGTTTGGTGGGGTTGTTGGCATCCAAAAAACCCAATCAATGATGTTGTAAGGGTGATACAGCACGAGCTCTCAGGTGTCTGGAGCTCAAAGGGAGCCTGCAGCCCAGGAGCTGCTAAAAGCCCCAAAATACCAACCCTGGAAAGGTGAGAAAATGAGCCTGGAGAGGTGAAAGGGATGTGGAGCAGCTGGGTGAGAGCAAGGGCACGTTGGACTGGGAATGGAGCAACAGCAGCTGCTTCAGGGATGGATAAAATCACCCCCAAAATTAGAGTTTCCCATGGTAAAATCTCTCACAATGAGCTGGTAAATACCAGTTTTGCCCTGGTTGGAAAATAAACACGGATTTCCTCCTTGAAGTGCAACCCTCAGCTTGGTTCCAGCAGTGCTGGGTGCTTGGCTGGGATTATTAGAGATCATAATCTGCAACTGACGGCTAGAAAATAGCCTCATTTTGGTAAAACAGTGTGTTCTGCTTTAAAATAAGGACACTTCAAGTGTTCCCAGGCAGGGAGGAAAGGGCAGCAAGGTGCCAGTGGTGAGCGTGGAGACGCCAGCACGCCCGGGCTCGGGCAGTGACATCAACTGGAGGGAGAATTGGGTGTTTTCAGTGCAAAGCTCTCAAAATACAGCGTGGTTTTTGGCAGGGCGGCCCCACCTGGGGCAGTTTCCTTCGGGGTGAAGCACACGGAGGGGGTGAGCGTGGAGGTGGCACGGAGAGGGCAGGAGGAGGCAGAGTCAGCTCTTGGCAGCGGGACGCGGTGGCCGTTGGATGAGGGGACGGTCCTGAGGTTCAGCATGAGCCAGGCCAGCTCTGAGCTCAACGATAACAAGGTAAGAAGGTTGAGTGTTGGAGGGTGGGACTTCCACAAAGGGAGAACACCCTTCCCCAACCAGGGTTTTTGGGGGGGTTGCAGGTGACCGTCAGCTTTTACGCAGAGGGAGGGCAGCCCATCAACCAAACCGGGGTCTTCCTCACGGGCATTGGTGAGTACAAAGGCTTCTGCAAGGCCACAACCCACCTTCAACCCTTCAGCGTAGGGTGCTGTGATGTTGGGGGCAAAGGAGGACTCGAGTTGGCCATCTCTGAGGGGGTTTTCCACCCGTTCAACCACCTTGGGATGATGGTGGGGTCTGTCCATGCAGGAATCTCTCTGGATGTTGATGCAGATCGGGATGGGGTGGTGGAGAAGAACAACCCCAACAAGGTAATGGAGCTTCTTCCACTGCACAGCAAGGCCAAGGGCTCGCAAGCCCGAGCTCGCTAAGCCCCAGATGGGGTGTTTTAGGCAAGCTGGACGTGGGGTCCTGAGGGCCACGGGGCCATCCTGCTGGTCAGCTGCGACAAGGAGAGTCCCTTCACCCCAGCATCTGACAGTGACAACGAAAGGATCTTCAACAAAGAAGGTAACAGCTTCAAAAAGAGGGGGGAAAAACCCCTATAAAACAACCCCCCACTCCGTTATGGCCCCTCCTTGACCTTTCTGGAGATGAACTTTCACTTGGGAACCAGCTGCCCATGAGCTGCTCTCTACCAAGCTGCTGAGTAAGCTTCACACATGGGAATTTCTCTATTTAATGCCATGAACACTAATTATGGTGGAGCAAGGGCACGAAGCCCAGGCAGAAACCCAGCAGAGGTGCCACTGCTGGCACAGCTCAGCCCAGGGATGCTCAGTGCAGGTGAGGAGCTCGGGGCGAGGCGTGTGGCCAGCAGCCAGCAGGACACCCATCTGTTCCTGGAAAACTAAAACCACACAGAGCTGGTGCCCGTTGGCTTTTTGAGGCCAAGGACCAGTTGTGCCAGGAGGGGAAAAAATAAATAAATAAAATGGGGTAATTGTTTTGAAGCAGAAGCCACAAACTTGGCTGGTAGGATCACGGGTTGTTTTTCCAGCTTGCCAAGGCTGGGAGGAAGGGAAGAGCAGAGCCCAGGAGGGAGTGTGAAAGGTGGACAGAGCTGCATGGTGCCATCAGTCAATTTTTGGGTTGTTTGCACTCCAGATTTGCTGGACATGTCTCGGATGGTCTTGAGGACCGAAGGGCCGCAGCGGCTGCCCCGGGGGTACGAGATCGTTCTGCATCTTCCTGTCTCTGATGCCAACAAAGTTGGGGTCTTTTATGCTCAGAGTAAGTCCTTCCTCACCTCCTCCTCCTCCTCTGCCCCTTCCTTCTCGGTTGCTGTGCTTTTGAGATCCCTGCAAGCTCTTCTCCTTCCATCCTTGGCCTTGTCCTCTCCGTGCTCTTCAAATAGCTCTTCTGAAGCCATGCGTCCCCTCAGCACGCTGTCAGATTTTTGGGGTGTTGAATATTCTCTTTTCTCAAGCATTTGGTAAATTTTGGAGACTAGCTACCTGACAACTCCCTGACAGGAGGCTGGAGACAGGTGGGGGTCAGGCTCTTCTCCCAAGGAACGAGCAACAGGACAAGAGGAAACAGCCACAATGCCCCAGGGGAGGTTGAGGTTGGAGCTGAGGAACAATTTCTTCCTCTTGAGGGTTGCCCAGGGCTGTGCCAGGCTGCCCAGGGCAGTGGTGGAGTCCCCACCCCTGGAGGGGTTTCCAAGCCATGGAGATGTGGTTCTGAGGGTTTAGTGGAGACCTGGCAGTGCTGGGGGAAGGGCTGGACTCAATCTTAAAGGTCTCTTCCAACCCAACCAATTCTGATCCAGAAGCAGAGGCACAGGGCCATAAAGCCATTCAGCCAACTGACCAAAAAAAAACCATTTGTCCTGACACCCAGATGCTTTATCCATGATGTCAGCATGTCCTACCATATATTTCCCCCTCCTTGTTCCTTGTTGTGGGCACAGGGATTTATCCCCTGTGACCAGAAGTCCTCATCCAGCCCAGAAACCTGCCAAGAAGCAGCTGGGTCTTGTCCCTCTGTGCAGAGGCAGTTTGTCAGTGGGAGGGTTGGTGGCATCTTCATCTCATGACAGGTCAGAGGGAGCTCCAAGGGCACAAAGCCCATGAAAAGTTGCCCACTTTGCCCTTTCTCTTCTTGCAGATCCCTTCTTTGGGCAGCGCTACGTCCACGTGCTGGGTCAGAAGAAGCTCTACCACACTGTGCAGTACACTGGTGGGGCTGCCGAGCTGGACTTCTTCGTCGAGGGGCTCTGCTTTCCTGATGACACCTTCTCTGGGCTGGTTTCCATCCATGCCAGCCTCCTGGAGTCACTGGCTGAGGTCTGGGGGCTCAAGAGAAGGGAGCAGATTGAAGGCAACAGCCTGAGGGGCACGGAGAAGGGAATGGGGATTGAATGGAGAGTGGTCCACATGAATTTACCTCAAAAATTACCTGAGGGGTAGGATATTTGGGGGAATAGTGGTAAAGAGGGTGTGGAAACTCCCCGATTTCTGCTTGCCTCCCCCAGGGTATCCCCCCCACACCCATCTTCACTGACACAGTAGTGTTCCGGGTAGCACCATGGATCATGACCCCCAACACCCTGGCACCAGTGAACGTCTTTGTCTGCAGGTAAAGGCCAATGGCTGAAGCCTTCCCAGCCAAACCAGCCCCAAATCTCCCTAGAAGTCACCAAGACAGGCTGGGGAGATGATGGGCAGAGGGAAAGGCAGCTGCCCGTGGGGAATAATCACCCTCCAGCCCCCCTTCACCCCCTGCCCTCTCACCGTCCACTTTCCCAGCATGAAGGACAACTACCTCTTCATCAAGGAGATGAAGGACCTGGTGGACAAGGCCAGCTGTGAGCTGAAGGCTTGCTTTGGCTACATCAACCGTGGGGACCGCTGGCTGCAGGTAGGTGGGCACCAGAGAAGGGGGGGGCAGAGCTTTCCCTCCCCTCCTGACGTGCTCCATGTGGGTTTTCCTCCCTTCTTTAGGATGAGGTTGAGTTCGGCTACACTCATGCTCCCCACAGAAGCTTCCCAGTGGTGCTGGACTCCCCTCGAAATGGAGGGCTGGAGCAATTCCCCATCAAGGAGCTGCTGGTAAGAGCAGGACAGTGGTTTGCATGGCCTGAGGAGCAGCTGGCAGGTTTTTATGCTTAGCCTCTTTCACCACTCCTACAACTCCACGTGCACTTGGCTCCTCGGAGGCCTTACAATGAATTGCTTGAAAAATTAGTTTATCAGCCCTGTGTGGAGATTCCAGCTGAGAGGACAACAACAGCCTCACCCCCACCTCAAACCAAGGATCAGAGCCTGATCCACACCCCAGCCATCTGGAAAACATGTTATCCAGAAGGGTGAGAGGGGCAAGGAGCAGCTCACGCCTGCAGGAACAAAAGAATCCTGCCCAGCTCTGGGACAGGAGTAGATTTTTTGACCCCAAGAATCCCAGCAATGGGCTGGTTCTTCCTTTCCTCCTCTGTGTCTGTAAAAATAGAGTAGCTCCCAAGCAGCAGAGGAGAGGGAACCACAAGAGGGGTCCATTTACCTCCTCAGAAGAGAATAAGATGAAGCCAGCTGCCCAAGAGATCCCTGTGGAGCTTCTTGGCCAAGGCCAAGGCCCAGCCATGGGCAGGGCATGCAAGGAAAGCTGCTGGGGTGAGCAGTGAACCCAGCCAGAGTGTTTTGGGAGAGCTCAGCAATGGGAAAAAAGATGGTTTGAACCATCCCTTTGAGGTACCACCACACAGAAAGAGCAGGACATCCCCAAGCAGCCACCAAATCTCTGCCCCACGCACCCGGGCAGGCAGCTCAGTCCTGATCTTCTCTCCAACAGTAACAGGAGAAGAGGACAGCTCCCCCTTTTTTTTTTCCACTCTGCACATCAAGGAAGGTTAAGCACTTTCAAAAACATCAAAATAGATCATTTCTCATGCCTGGAATGAGTACACACAGTCCCAGCTCCAGCGGGCAGGGTGGGGACGGCGCCTGGATCCGCTCCTCTCTGCCCTCTTTAGGAATTGCTTTGCTTCATATTTAGAGAAGCAATTTCAGCCTTCCGAGCTGCTAACAAATTATACTCCAATTTCTGCTCTCAAGCCTCCCCCCCCCTGCCCCTAATCCTCACTCCTATCCTTCCAATCTCATTTTCCAGGGAGGAATTTAGCCCAACCTAATACACGCGGGTCCCCTCCTCGCCCCAGCCAAGCCCTAAGCTCCCGGGACCCCACGCCAGGGAAAAAGGAGATGAGAGGGAATTAGCCCCTCAAAATCAATCTGGAACTGATAGGGCTTGGATGGGACCTGCAAACCTGGGTCTTGACAGTTGAAACCATCCCGGCTCTGTGGTTTATTAAAGTGAAATAAGCTGAGAGCAGGTGCTTCAGTGCTCAGTCCCTCCCAGAGGAAGGAGCTGACCCCCCCAGTCCTCCTCTAGATAAGCACCCCAAAAACACCCAGGGAACCTCAGCAGCTTTGGGAGCTTCTCCAAAATTCCTCCCTTCAAACAAAAAGAGAAATATTCTAGAGGATAAACGTGCACCTTGGGGTTTCCCTGCTCGTTTTCCCCACTTGGTGTCCCCCTACAGAAACCCAACACTAAGAAGTGATTGGGGTTTAGCACAGACCCAACAGATACCTGATCTTGTCCCAGGGCTGCCCTGAGCTCTGAGCCCTTGTTGACTTGAACCAGAGAGCAAGGACAGGTCTAAGGCAGGATTTTTATCCCACTGCTGCAATTTTTGCCCCAAAAAACTTCTCCCTTCAGTGTTTAACCTCGGCACACACAGCCAAGGGGTAATTAACCCTTGCACGCACACCACCTTTAATCCCAGAGATATTAAGCCCTGAAAATTAGGACTTAAATAGGATTTAAGTGAAGTATAGCCCTTTGGGTGGCTCTTCTGCCTAGGGTGGATTTACCCTCAAGGGCTGAAGTTGATCTAACTCAACGAAAGCCATCCAAAAACTCACCTTCAGGGCTACCCCAGCACCTAATCAGCTTCTTGTGGACACTTAAACAGTAGCTGCAGGACAGCAGAGATCTCACCCCATCTCAATGCTCCGGGGTATTTGCCATTTATTCCTGAGCCCAGAGGACCTAGAGACCTTGATCCTCTTGCCTTCAATCTCTCCCCACTCAAGGACAAGCTTCACTCTTGATATTTCCACCCATCAGAGCAGGTCTGAGCTCAGCAGGGGATAAAAGAGAAGTCACAGAGGCAGGGGGGACTCGGGGTTAAACCTACAATGATTTCTCCTTCCTCAGGGCCCCAACTTTGGCTACATGAGAAGAGAGCCCCTCTTTGAAGCCATCACCAGCCTCGACTCCTTTGGCAACCTGGAGGTCAGCCCACCAGTGACCGTGGCAGGGAAGGAGTATCCCCTGGGGAGGATCCTCATTGGCAGCAGCTTCCCCACGTAAGCCATGAGAAACCCACAGGTTTGGGAGCAATGGAACCACAATTGCCCCTAAATAGAATTATATTTTTTTAAAGAAGCCCATTAAGGGCCTTAATTAGCCATTCCTTGATTCTGGAACCTCATGGATTGCTCTCAAGGGTTGGGCTGACCACTAGATGAGTGACAGATTCTCTGTTAACCACGCTGCTCTCCCCAAGGGGAAGAGAAAGGGAATAAGGGAGGGATAGAGACTTATGGGTTGGAAAACTAAAGCAGCTTTAATGAAAATAATCAAAATAGCATGAAAAATATACAAAACCAACAGGGAACCCAACCCCCTCCATGGCAGGGACACCACTGATGCTGAGAGCAGCCACTGGGGAAGTCCTTGACTGGACTCAGTGGTAGATGGGACCCCAATTCAGGAGCTGGATTCATCCAAGTCCTCCCAAGACTCCAGCCACTGAAAATGAGACTTGAACCTTGTGATGCCTCAGCTTTATACTGACTATGCCATACAGGGGATGGACTCTTCCACTGGTTAGTTGGGGGTCACCTGTCTTGTCCCTCCTCCTTGTGGGTGCCACCTCTTCCTCTCTGCACCCCAATGTCAAGAGTTAGCCCTGGCCTTGCTCTGCACAGGGGCAAGGATCAGCAAGAGCTTTTCTGCACCCCAATCCTTGGGAGTAACTCTAAACACAGAGTGTTGGCACTCCTAGGAGCAGACACTGCCTCCCAAAACGTGCTGTGAGCTTCAGAAAGTGCAATTACTGAGAAATAAAAACAGAAATAGTTCCAACTCAAGCCAGGAAAAGGGGGTGCACCAATCTCTGCCTTCACTGCCACCTTCCTTTCTCTCCTCCACCTTGGTGCCAGTTTCTACCTATTTACCTGTTGCTGCACAAAGTGTATTCCCCTCATTCCCTCTCCCGGGGGGTGTTTCCCCCTCCAGATCTGCAGGGAGGAGGATGACCAGAGTGGTGAGGGATTTCCTCTACGCCCAGCAAGTCCAGGCTCCCGTGGAGCTCTACTCTGACTGGTTGTCCGTGGGCCACGTCGATGAGTTCGTCACTTTTGTGCCCACCTCTGATGCAAAGGTACCTCCAAAATCTGGGGTTTCTCTTCTGAGCAGCTAAACCCAGCAGGGCACCTCTAGGGAAGACCCCAAAGCTCCTCTCCTCAACAGTCCCAGACAGTTGCTCAGGTTCTCATCCCTGTCCCCCAACGTGAGGGCTCGAGAGACAAAAAGGATCTTTCTTAGCTAATAATCCAAATAGAAGGAAAAAAGGTGCTTGAAAAAGCAGCCCAAGAAATTTAATCCTCAGTATTCACACAGGCTGGTGAGGGCTCACAGCTGCTCAGCATCTTGCAGATCCTAGAAGGGGTTGGGTTGGAAAAGACCTTAAAGATCATCTAGTTTCAACTAGGAAAAAAAAAAAAGCCCCATCCAATCTGGTCTGGAACACCTCCAGGGATGGAGCACCCACAGCTTCCCTGGGCAACCTGGGCCAGGGTCTCAACACCCTCACAGTGAAGAGCTTCTCCCTAATTTTTAATCTAAATCTCCCCCCTTGCAGCTCAAACCTATCACCCCCAAGCCCTCTATACTGTGGTTTTGCTCCTCCCAGGGCTGGGTTAAGCCCCCACAAGAGATTCCATCAAGCTGCCTCCTGCATTCAACCAAGGAGACCAAGTTTGGCTGGTGGGGAGCAAAGCCAGGACACAAATAGGAGCTCAAGCCCTACAAATTCACAATTCCCACGGGATGAGCTGAATAGTGATTTTTGGGTTCATCTGAGGAAGTCAGAGCCTGATTATCTTCTTGCTCCATCCCCCCCAGTTTTACAATGCCAGCCCAGAAACAAAAAACACCAACCTAGACACCTCACCCCACTCAAACCCCCCTCCTGGGGTTTATCTACCCCACCTAGGATGGGCAGGATTGGACCCAGCTGCAGTTTTCCTCCCAGTTTAACCCCTCGAGGGTGGTTTGGTGGGTGCTTGCCAACGAGATAACTCACCCCACCTCATTCAGACACACCTCCTCATCACCACATTAAAAAAAAGGCACTAAATAACAGCCAATATGCCTCATTTGAAGACTTTAAGCTCAGGTTCCTTGCAAAAATCAGTCCCTTGGGATAAAGCCCCTTTGGTGACCTCTCTCTCCCACCCATCTTCCCGCAGGGATTTCGGATGCTGCTGCCCAGCCCTGCAGCCTGCTACAAGCTCTTTCGGGAGAAGCAGAAGGAAGGCCAGGGTGAAGCCACCATGTTCAAAGGCAAGAGGACAGCAGGGGGGCTTTGAGCAGAGCTTTGATGTCAGCTGAGGCAGCCGGAGCTGCCCTGCCGAGCAGCCGGCCCGAGGGCGGCGGCGCCTGACCCAGGAACGGGTATTGGGGGGCAGGGGGGGAACCTTTTCCCACCCACTTGTCCTTCACGGCTGGCAAACGGGATGGCTGCCCACCATACCTAACCTCCTCGAGCCCTATTTTGGGAAATTGAGTAGGATGGGAGGGATGGAGCGTGTCTGGAAATGCCAGCAGAGCTCCAGCGCGGAGTGGGACAACCGGGGGCTCGCACGTCTCCCCCCAAATTAGCACCAGTTTTGCCCTTCATGCCTCGCAGAGATGGTTTGGTTGGGAGTGTGGGTAGCCTTTCACTGGGGTTTTGAACATCATCCATCCGTGGTGGGGTTGGGAGAAGGTCTCCATACCTCTATGATTCTTTCTGGGTCAGCACCACCTGCCCGGGATGTCCCCAGAGAAGGGGTCACCTGTGTGGAGGTCTCAGCTCTGGTTTTATGGAGCTGAGTGGAGAAATTCAGCAGATTCCTGTAGGTGGGCAGAGGGGTGATAGGTCCTTTCCAACAGGCAGATATTTTCTTCCCACCTATTTTCCCCATAAACGAAGCATTTGGATTCCATCAGCCTTAACCTCAAGCTCAAAATTAGGATTTTGGGGATTTTTTCCATCTCTGCACTCTGTCTTAAGCCAGGATTTTGCCAACGCTGCTTCATTTTGATGGAGGATTGAATTTTAGGGTACTCGGGGACAGACACGAAACGGGTCACCATTAACAAGGTCCTTTCCAACGACATCTTGGTGCAACAGAACCAGTATGTCCAGGTAATAACTGATATTTCTGGAAATAATGGATATTTCTTGTAAAAACTGCCCCATGATGATTTTGGTTCTCCTGTATGAGGTGGTTTTGAGGACCACCCGTGTTCCCCTCCTCAACCTGCTCTTCTCCAACCCTCCAGCGCTGCATCGACTGGAACAGGGATGTCCTCAAGAAGGAGCTGGGGTTGGTGGAGGAGGACATCATTGACCTGCCAGCCCTCTTCAAGCTCGACAAGCAGGGCAAAGCTGTGCCATACTTCCCCAACATGGTAAGGGGCATCCCTGCTCCTCGGCCCCTCTCCAAAAACCAGCTTATTCAGCCAAGATGAGTCCCCCAAACCTACAATATTTACAGAAAAATCCAGGCTTGAATGAGCCCAGGTCTACCACAACTTGATCCTTGAGGTCCCTTCCAATCTGGCGTTCTACAACGCTATGAACTTTGTGGCTTTGTGTTGCTTGTGGTGGGGTTAACCGATGTAATTTTGAGGCAAAAACCTTTCAAAGCAGTGAAATTGGAAGGTGTGGGGAGTATTTTAATGATAAAAAAGAGGAAAGTGATGCGGGGTTTGAAGGACTCGGGAGGGTGGCTACAAAAAGTGACATTGATGCCCCATTTTGGGGTGAGGCTGATGGAGGAGGGTGGCCAGAGGTTTTCCTTCAGCTTCATGGGTCTTGACGCCGCTGGGCTCCCCTTGTGTCACCCTACAGGTCACCATGATCGTCCTGGCCAAGGACCTGGGCATCCCCAAACCCTTCGGCCCCGTGATGGGGGGCGAGTGCTGCCTGGAGCGGAGGACTCGCTCCCTCCTGGAGCCGCTGGGTCTCCGCTGCCGGTTCCTCGAGGAGGTGGCCTCCTACCACGGCAGCCTCGGCGAGGTCCGCTGCGGCACCAACGTCCAGCGGCGGCCCTTCGCCTTCAAATGGTGGCACGTGACGCCATAGAGGGGCCTCCTCCTCCGCCTCCCCCGGCGGCTTTTTGTGGTGTGTGTTGTTTGCGATTCAGTTAATAAATATATTTGCTGTGAGGAAAGAGGCGGGAAATTAAATAATAAGGGGGGATAAGAGGGAGAGAAAGGGAGGGGAGCCCTCAGGGAAGGGACGCCATTTTGGTGCCCATCATTGTGCCCTGCGTGATGTTGGGGCGAGCAGGAGGGGTTGGGCTCCTCCTCTGAAAACAATAATTCGGCTGGGGATTAATGGAGGGACGCCTTGATCTCCTCCTT